ACAGCAGCACACCAGGGCATACCATCCAACTGTCCCAGTTTGGCACAGATAGTCCCAACGAATTCTCTGTCATCCCACATTTTCAGCTGCATTTAAAATGTCCCAGTTTCTCTCCTTTCACTTTCACCTTTTATTCTCAGCTTACTGCAACTGCTGTAAATTGAATTGAAAATGCAAAAGTAGTTTGTACTCAGTTAACTCAGCAGTGGGGAGAAGAGAGGAGAGGCAGAATCTTGCACCTCTCCATAGGGTCAGACAAAAGCAAACTGCTGCAGCCTTTCCTGGCTTGTGTCTTCTGCATCATTAGTAGCATTTGCCATCTTGACCACACTCTGATGTTGATTGGCTACATGTGTCTCAATTTTCATCTGTTATATGTCAGAGGGTATGCCAAGGGAATATGATTTATAGAAATGAATTTTTCAAAAAGGAAATATCCCTCCATATTTCAGTTCAGCTCTGTATTGTTAAGTATAATTCAACAACTCATTTTGCAACTGACTGAGGAATGAAGGTATGTGGCACAATCTTAAGCATATTTATTCAGACATAGGCTACACTGAATTCACTGGACCTTACTCTCAAATATATGTGATTAGCATTGAAATCTAATGTCTTAGTAGAACTTTTGATCATCTTATCAAACTGTACTGTACACTACTTCTGCTTTCAATGTCATGGACAGCAAAACCTCTGTATTGTCACATTACAGCAGGACAGCAGATCCTTATCAACCATCTGAACTGTTCTGGCTTCCCATTCTATTCACTAGCAATAAATGGTCAGAAAATTATCTAATTCTGGGTGTTGTGGTTTTATTTTGTTTTACTGATTAATCACTTGCTTATAGAATTTGAGAATAGTTCTGGCATTAAGCACATCCTTTGCCAATTGTGCTCTCAAATGAGCTCTTCTAGTCTTTTTGTGAGGGTTCCTTAGCTGCAGCAACATCTGCACTCAGAATATTCCCTGTTCTTGAGCACCCCCTTTGACACATGCTGGCATTTTTGTCTTGCCTGCTATTTGTTGGAAGTTTACCAAATTAAGCTTTAGTATGTATGAGGGTATAATAAGAGCCAGCATGATGCAATGGTTTTAATGTTGGACTATGACTCTGGAGGTCATGGTTCTGTTCCTGTTTGGCCATGGAAACCCACTGACTATGGGCAAGTCACATGCTCTCAGCCCCAGAAAACATCCCTAGTTCACCTCAGGGTCACCATAATTTATAAGTCAAACAACAATAATATTAGAGGGCAAGTGTGTTTCTCTTTACAGGAACATCTTACAGCTTGCATGTTTACTCATCATTGCCTCATGGAGTTCAAGGGAAATTACTCACAAGTATACATAAGACAGGGATGCAGTGGCTCAAGTGGTTAAGATGCTGACTTTGTTGATTGCAAGATTGGCAGGTTGGCAGTTCGAGGCCCAGTGCTGCATGATGGGGTGAGCTCCTGTCACTAGTCCCAGTTTCTGCCAACCTGTTCGAAAACATGCAAATGCAAGTAGATAAATAGGTATCACTTCAGTGGGAAGGTAAACAGTGTTTTGTGCAATCATGCTGGCCACATGCTCACAGAGTAGTCTCTGATAACGCTGGCTCTTCAGCTTAGGAACAGAGATGAGCACTGCCCCCTACAGTCGGACACGACTTGGCAACCTTGTCAGTGGGGAATACCTTTACCTTTTTATACATAACTTAGGGGGGGTTGCAGACTGCCAGAAATAGTGCTAATTGAGTCCACTTTTAGGGTTAGGGTTAGTGCTAGAGAATCATGGGAATTGTTTTTTTCCTGAGACATTGAACCTTCTCTGTCAGAGAGCTCTGATGCCACAATAAAATACAGTTCCCATGATTCCCTAACCCTAACCCTAAAAGTGGACTCAATTTGCACTATTTCTGGCAGTCTGCAACCCCCCCTTAATCAGTGTAGTTGAGTTGCTCAGTCAGCTTTCAGTGGTTCTTTCCTTTTTCTTGGGAGAGTTGCCCTCTACTTTTTAAAAGTACTTCTGCAAATCTTGAGATTCAGTATCTCTTTGGTCCACAGTGACTTCATTTTGTCTACAGTCCTGTTGGCACACTCACCACCTACAATTGTTATCAGAAGGAACAAGAAAGCTGACTGAATGTACAGTTCTATGCACACACAGGAATAAGTCCTGTGATACTGAGTGGAGCTTGCCTCCAATTGATGGTGTAGGAAACTGCATGTCTCTAATGCTTTAGGTCTAGGAGCTACATCTGAGTAAATATACAAAGAATTGCAGTCGTGAGGAAGAGACAACTCTTCATTAGAATTTTCTTTGCCATACTCAGTAGGTGTGGGAAAATCTGGGTCTGCAGCACATTCTCTAAGGAATGAATACCCCTGGGTTTTGCCACATGTTTCATAGTCCAAAGGTGACGGGAAAAGTAAATGAGATCTGTTAAATTAAAACCTTCCTCCTCCTGTTCTCTCATACTGCAGACTCTTGCATTCTTCAAATACCTTTCTCATCCCACCAACAGAACTGTGCTGTTGCAGCAGCCATGCTGATGTTTGGGGTGGTAGTGGGAAGATATTGACTGCTGTTCTTAGCAAATGTGTTTCATTGTAAGGCTGAGATGTTGGTCCTTCTTAACCTTATCAGCTAAATTAATTTTCCCTGTACTGGGAGCAGAATAGGAAGGACAGATCATACTGAAGTTAGTAAGAATAATATAAAAAATACAAAAAAATTCAGTGGTAGCTGCGTTGGCTGTACAGCAAAAAACAACAAAATCCACAAAGTAGCAATACCTTTATCTGGCCAACTTCAAAGCATAAAATATATTATGCAAGTTTTTGAAGCTTCACTTGCTTCTTCATCAGGCAAAAAATTTAGAATTACAGAGCTAGTTTTTGTTTCAGATGTTACTCTGTTTGCAAAGGTTATGTTTGCAATCTTGTAGCACCTTTGAGACTAACCAAAAGAAAGAAGTTGGCTGCATAAACTTTCATAAACTTGAGCTTACTTCCTCAGATGCAGAGGAAGTAGACTCAAGTCAAGTCTTAACATGCTTATATTTCTGAATTCACAGTATCTGTTAGGACAAGTGGATTGCCAAGACAGGTTCGAGCTACAGCTTTGATTGAAAGCTTCCCTCTCCTCTCCCCTACAACCCAATTTTAGATTACAGAGGCTGAAGGTGGCTAATCACAGGCAATGGAAGAATACTCAGCATATCCTTACAGTCTACAAAGCTGGCCATAGGACAAAGAGCATCTTGGGCAGAGCCTGAAAATGTTTCTTTGTGCTGTAGTGACCTAAGTGTTGGACATTCCCCATTCAGCCATGGAAACCCATGGTAACTTTGGACAAGTCACACACTCAGCCCCAGAAAAACCCTTAGGGCCACCATAAGTGAGAAATACTTGGAGGCACACAACACAAGAAGAAGAAGAAGATCCCATTATAACTTTGTTTTATGGTTGCCCTAAGTTAGAAAGGACTTGAAAGCAAACAACAACAACAACAACAGGAAAACAACAAGAGCCTGCCTGCAAAAGATATCTTCCCTACCACATACCATCTTAACTAAAGACTGAAACAACATGTAGACATCTGACTAACATCTCCAATGGTTTTTCTCCTGTTTGGTTTGTAACATCTTGCTTGAGGAAGAAACCCATGGAGACTCGAAAGCTTGCAACAAGTATATTGTGCATTTTGGTTGGCCAATAAAGATATCACTGATGGATTTTTGCTTTAATTAGGAAAACCCCATGATAAGTTTGTCTTAGGGTTGACCTAAATTAGAAAGGACTTGAAAGCACACAACAACAGGGTCACCTTAGGGTTGTCATAAGTTGAAAATGACTTGGAGACACACAACAACAAAGCTACCAGAACCTCCTGTATGATTTCAAACATTTTGCCTAATGAAGAAGCAAATGAAGCTTCATGGTTGCTGGCCATAGTAGCGAGAGGATTCTGGGTGATATTGTCCAAAACACAACCATCCCAACCTCTAACACTGGATGAGGAATAGCTTCAGAAGCCACTGCCCCCATCCTTTCATTAGCATTCAGCTTGTGAAAGTATATTTGTAGTGCATATAATGTTTGTATTTGTTTAGTATTCTGCTAGTGTAAAGTAAAGCCACATTCTACTGATTTGTATTTAGAATGAATGATGAAAATCAATAGATGCTTCCAGTGTTGCTCCTTGAAGACCATATGGTGACTATAGCAAGAAGTGTAATTTGGTTGATGCACCAGCTGTTGTCCTTCCTAGGAAGAATGGATTTAGCCCCAGTGGTTAATGCCTTAATAACCTCCCAATTACTTTAATATGATCTATATGGGACTGCCCTTGAAAAGTACTTGGAAACTACAACTAGTGCAAAATTCAGCAGCCAGACTTTGTCTGGGGGGCATTTAAGAGACCATATACCACTGGTTTTGTATGAACTGTGCTTACTTCCAGTTTGCTTCCAGGCTCAATTAAAAGTGCTAGTTTTGACAAACAAAGCTCTAATGCACTATGGGCCTTGATATCTGATGATCACCTCCTCCAGTATGAGCCCACCTAGAATTTGAGAGCATCTCAATTGAGGTTGTTGCATGTTCAAACGCCTTGAGATGCTAAGTTGGTGACTACACAAGGCATTTCTCAGTACTGGTACTTTGGCTGTGGAACTCACCCTCAAGGATAGTCAGGCTAGTTACATCCCTTTTGAGTTTTCAGAATAAATTATCATGTTTGATATACTATAAGTTCAGTTTATTTAGAATAATTACAAATCAAACTTTTCAGTTGTTGCTGTGTGCCTTCAAGTCATTTCCAACTTATGGCAACCCTGATGACCCTGTTGTTGTTGTTGTCATTGTTGTGTGCCTTCATGTCATTTCTGACTTAGGGCAACCCTAAGACAAACCTATCATGGGGTTTTCTTGGCAGGATTTGTTCAGAGGAGGCTTGCCATTGCCTTTCCCTGAGGCTGTGGTTTGCCCAAGGTCACTCAGTGGGTTTCCTGGCCGAGTAGGGAATCAAATCCTGGTCTCCAGAGTCCCAGTCCATGCTCAAACCACTACACTACACTGGCCTATTATGGGGTTTTCTTGGCAAATTTCTTCATAGGGGATTTGCCATTGCTATCCTCTGTAGATTATACCTCAGAGCCAGGAACTGGTAAAACTAATTCTGAGTAAAACCCTATGAAATTTATGGGGCCACCATAAATCAGCAAGTGACTTGAAGGCACATACACACACTTTCCCACAGTATACAGCAGACATAACTTATTCATTCTCACAAAAAGAACTGAGGAAATGGAAGCCAACTCCAGGAATTACCATGATCCAGTACTATACAGACTTTCTCTGACATAGTTTTCAGGAATGATTTTGGGGCAATCAGTATGTGCACACCTTGGACGTTTTCACACGGGGCTTTAGGAGGACGCATTCCTACCTCCGTCCGGCCCCATTTCCAGGTCGTTCACACGCGCGCAGCGGCAAACCCCGCCCCTTCCGGTGCCATCCCTGCGTCAGTCCGACTCGTCGCTCCGTGTGTTCAAACACACGGAGCCCTAAGTCCAGCCTCACTCAGGCAGAAAGGCCTCTAATTCCGGCTTCAGCAGCGGAAAGGTAATTCCGGGTGGCAAAAGGAATTAGCCTGCCGCCGCCAGAGTCATTCCGGAATCAGCGGCACGAGCCGTTCCGGAATGGCTCCAGCCGGCTTTAGGGACCCCTGTGTGAAAACGCCCCTTGTCTTAAGCATTTTGTTCCCCATTCTAAAAGAAAATATTCCATAACCTGGTTTTTTTTTTCAGAAAAAAAAATCTTCAAAGAAAATGGGGGGGGGGAGAAACAATTTTCTCCAAATTTTTCCACTTCTTGCTTGGTAATCTACATCCTGAGCCCTCCCGTAAACCTGCCTGTTTTAACAGCTGTCTGTCAGTCTTGCCACCTGAACTTTGAACAATGTCGCCTCATCTCTTTCAAGTTCTCCTCAGAAGACACACATTCATCACATTTTATGATCCTCTTTTAAAAGCCAAGTCAAGCACATATTCGCTTTTCACCACTCTCATCAATAATTCTTTACATGCTATCTCTTATTTCATGCTCTTCCTGATTTTAAACAAACAAATCTTTTAACTCGGAAGCTGGCAGGTCCCCCCCTGCCCTTTGATTTCTTTTTCTGGGATATTACTTACTGTAATGAACCTGAAAAAAGAATGAATCTCCTTCCCTCCCCCAGTCAACAAAAACAGGCAAACATAAATTCTTTAAGCTGAAATGTTGCCGTGTGCCTTCAAGTCATTTCCAACTTATGATGACCCTAAGGCAAATCTATCATGGGGTTTTCTGGATAGTTCACATAGCTGAAAGGTCCCCCCCCCCCATGGGCCAGATTCCTTGTATCCATACTACATGCTTGATCATAGGGGAGTGGAATGGGAACAATGAGGATCAGGCTGTGACAAGCACTAACCCACTGAACTTGCTAAGAGTTGCTTCCTCCTACACCTTTCAGGTGATTTGTAAATCTTCCAGACCCTCCTTTGTCCCTGATTGAAAAGAGGGATTGGGGGCTGGCAGCTACCCAAGAGGAAGTCAGTAAGGTTCATTCCAACCAGGATCACCTCACATGACAGATAAAGCAGCTTTTTCCAAAAAATGTGCTGCTCAAATTTGCTCCTGCGATCCCTTGGAAAACTGGAGAAGGTGGCAGTTTTCAGTCTCACCTCCCCTTTCTCCCAACTCATTCCCCCAACCCAATCAAAAAGTTAAAATTGATCTTTCTGCCTGCCACTAAATTCAGCTTCATAGAGTTGTCCAGGAATCTCATAAATAAAGTTACTTTCTCAATCTCTCAGTGTAATCCCGGCAGCATGCTGGGAGCAGTGCATTCGGCTGCCAAGGGAGCTGCTTCTGTCCTGCAAGAAATGGATTTTATTTATTTATTTATTTATTTCAAGGATTTATATCCGATCTTTCTCCCACAATGGGATTCATTGCAAGCCACTGGACAAGCTAGTATCCCTATAGGTGGTGGAAACAGAGAGAAACCATTAATTGTTCATTCCAATGAGTCATAGAATCACACAGTTGGAAACAGCCTCATGGGCCTTGGAGTCCAACTCACTTAGCTGAAGCATCTCCAGCAGGTAGCTGTCCAACCTCTTTTTGAAGCCAGATGTGATGGCTCAGTGGTTAAGGTGCTGACTGATGATTGCAAAGATTGGCAAGTTGGCAGTTCAAGGCCCAGGCACCATGGGACTGAGTTTGCTCCTGTCACTAGTCCCAGCTTCTGCCAACCTAGCAGTTTCAAAGCATGTAAAAGTACAAGTAGATAAATAGGTACCACTTTGGTGGGAAGGTAACAGCATTTTGTGCAGTCATGCTGGCCTCATAACCACAGAGTTGTCTTTGAGAATGCTGGTTCTTTGTCTTAGTAATGGAGATAAGCACCGTCCCCTACATTTGGACACAACCTGACAACCCTGTCAAAGGGAAAACTTTTACAGCTTTTTAAAAAAGAGACGATGCTGGGCAGTTGGTTTCATGACAGACCACTCTTACTGTCAAGAAATTCCTTCTAATGTTCAATTGAAATCTATTGTTCTGTAACTTCAAACCATTAAACATGGTCCTACTTTTTGGGGCAACAGAAAACCAGTCTGCCCCCTCCTTTCTGCAACAGCCCTTAAGGTATTCAAAGAGTGCAACCATGTCACCCTCAGTCTTCTTCACAAACTGATAAATATCCAGCTCCTTCAACCTTTCCTCACATGTTTTGTTTTCCATACCTCTTATCATTGCCTTCTCTGAACCTTCTCTAACATTTCTATATCCTTCTTAAAATGAGGTGCCCAGAACTGAACTCAGTATTCCAGATAAAGACTGACCAGCACAGGACATATTGGGGCTACTACTTTCCTCAGCTCAGAAACTATGCTTCAATTAATGCAGGCTAAATTATCATTCACCTTCTTTGCAGCAACATCACAGTACTGATTTATGTATAACTTATGACCAACAATAATTTCAAGGTTCTTTTTTCCATGTAGTACTTCTGAGCCAAGCATCCCTCTTGCTATACCTGTACATTTGGTTATTTGTAGCCTAAATTTAGAATATTGCATTTGTCTCTATTGAATTATTGATTTTGATTTTATTTATTTCTGCACAGTTTTCGAGTTTACTGAGGTCTTTTCCATTCTGTTCCTATCTTCCAATGCGTTGGCCACTCCTACCTGTTTTATGTCATTTGTAGACTTGATAAGAACACCTTGTACCCTGCCATTTAAGTCACTGATAAAAAATACCAAAGAGTAATGGCCCTAAGATAGAACCCTGATGATGATGATGATGATAATAATAATAATAATAAAATTTATTTATATCCCGCCCCTTTAAGATCAGTCTCAAAGATGATGAGTCTTTGACCATGTTTTCCAACCAGTATAGATCCATCTGACAGTGTTCCCATCAATTCCAAATTTAATCAATTTGCTAAATGAATTATTATGGAGAACCTTATCAAATGTTAAGATAAATGATGTCCATAACATTTCTAATGGACTGTGATTCCCACCATGAGATGAAAAGTGAGGTCTAAATGCAATTGTTAGTCCTAACTAGAATAGACACATCGAATCAAAGGAACTTAAGCAACTGCTGACTTACCAATGGATCCACCTGTAGTCTATAGCTTTGAACACAGCCCAAATTCTTGTCTTGTCATGTCTACCAGCTCAAATTCTTGGACCTTTCACGTCTTCACTTCTCAATTTTCATACTATATTACCATAAGGAGCACTCTGGAGGGCTGAGAAGCTCACATCAGTTATGTGTCATTTTAGTGGTCATAATAAAAGCTTTTGCCCAACTCTGATTCCTTTTAAACTTATGGATCACACAGCATTCCCCCCCCCCCTTTAGTTGCAACTACAGAAGAGGGGCTCCGATGTAATTCAGGGGGGAAATGCCTTTTCAGTCATGCCCATTTGCAATCTTACAGGACAGATACAATATCTCTTTGTGGATTTGTAGAGGTATAATATGTGAAGCCATCCTGGTAACTGAAAGGAACACAGAGATTCTTAAGAATTGGGGTAGGGAACTTGTGGCCCTCTAGAGATTGCTGGACTGAAAATCCCATCAACCATAGCCAACAGAGCAACAGATATGAATGGCAGGAGGTGCAGACCAGCAAACTCTGGAGGGCTTCACCCCTGCTTCAGTTCTTCAGTTGTCTTCTGCCTTTGGGTGCTCTGCAGAGTCTCCATTTTCAATCAGCTGCACCACTACACTATATTCAGCAGGGCTCACAAAAGAAAGAATTTATAAACTAGTGCCAGTACAAGGGTAGGGTGTGGTCCAGTTTCCTTGGTCCTTTAAACCAGCAGTCTTTTTCAAACAGCTTCAAGCCAGGAGCCTGGTTCCTTTAAGAGATGCAGGAGTCTCTCTGACTCACTTGTCAATCACTTTCTGCACATCACCAGGACACAAACTGCTGCAGTTGAATCACGTTTTCTTACCCCTACATGACATGCAATCTCTGCCAGTAGGAAAGCACCCCTTTCTTTGGGTCAAGAGTCCCGGGGACAAGAGCTCTTCTTCTTTGGTACCTATTCTCCCTTCCCCCATATCAGTCACAAGTGACTTCTAGGGCTATCACTCTAAGAAAATCTTGGTTAATTAATCATAGGACATTTAATTCAAAGGTTAATCCCATGCACATTTACATACAATGAAAACAAACATTTTGATGGACTGTGATTATTTTGCAAGATAGTGTCTCTCCCATGAAGGAAAGGGCAGGTAATGTGTGTTAAAAATAACTATTTTTCTATCACATTTTCACTTGATCAAAAGTCTCTTTTTTACAAATTAAAAATGTTTGTTTCTAACCAACTAATGGAGAAAATGTTGCAGCCTTATCCAGGTTCAAATGTGTTTTGGCATCCTCTTGCAATTGTAAATCTTTATGATTTTAGGGACTGGTTTGCTTCCGTTTAAATTCAACAGGATCCTTGGCCAGAGGCCATGAATTGTTATACACCTGATTGTTCTGCTTTTCTTCTTGTGTGCTC